CTCCGCGCGCGCCGCGGCCTGACAGCCCCAATTAAACAGCGGCTCCCGCGGCCGCGCGCCCGGGCGTCCTTTGGGAGGCGGGGCCGCGAGGCCGGCGCCCGGGCTTAAAGGCACCGCGCCTCCGCCGCCCCTCCCCGCGGGGTGCGGGCCCCGAGACCAGGCCCGACCTATACCGCGCTGAACCCCGAGCTGGCTACGATCTGCCCCAGGGGCCCCAGCCCAGATGCCCTCCCGGATCCCTTCTGAGGAGCTTAGATCTGAGCCCCACGGCAAAGATGCCCTGAGGTGTGTGTGGCGTGGGGGGCGTCCTATGCCTGGGTCTCCACCCAACATTTACAGAAGCAGAGTTTCTCCAGGGCTGGAGTTTGGGGGGGGGGGGTCCCTTCGTGCCAACTTTCCCTCCTCTTTCATTCTTTCATAAAGTTCATTCAACACATGGGAATTGAACTCCCTACTACGTGCCAGGCTCAGTATTAGGCGGCCGCCGTTTTAGGCGACTGTATGTATCATCCTCCTGATGGCCACAGGCTCCAATCCTGAGCTGGAGGGTCTCACCCCTGCAGGCCTGCTGGGGGAACCATTACCTAGGTGACTGGGGGTTGTAGAGGGGGTAGGATGGCTCAAGGGCCGCTGTCACTCTTGGAGGTTGAGCTGGAGAAATCCTGAAAGGACCATCCCCAGGGAAGTGAATGCGAGCTCTTTAAGAAAGCTTTAAAAGTGGGGTGGTGACCATCGCGGAGTGAAGCGCCACGTGACTTTTCCACTGGCGCTGGTGGGAGGGAGAGAGCGCTTCATAATCAGCTTTCCTTCACTTACCTCCCTTTCGATGCGCCAATCAACTTTCGCGGTAGGCGGGCACGCGCTTAGCAGACAGTCAATCACCGCCGAAAGAGGCTGTGGGGAAAGGAGGCGGGGCCCTCAGCCTGTTCCACCCAGCTGGAACTGGGCGGGGTCTCGCTAAACGTGGTGTTTAAGCTCTGGAGCGGGCGGGGCAGAGGAGGTGAATGAATCTGCAGGTAGGGCTAAAACAAAGCGGCTCGACTCTGGCGGCGCGCGTGCGCAGGACCTATCGTGCTTTCTTTACCGAGCCAAGGTGGTCTAACCTGGAAAGGGAGGGAGGGAACCCTCCCGGCTCCCAGCCCCTGTGCATTCCCTGACTGGCAGAGTGGCCCCACCTCCTTGAAGCTTAACCCCTCACTGTGTCCCAGGCTGGTCAGCTCTAAACCACCTTGTCCCCAACTCCAGCTGGCATGGCAGTGGTGTCTGGTCAGAGTGTAGTTTCAAGGCTCCAATTCCCAATTACAGAGTTTTCTAGAATACAGTCGGCAAAGCTGATCTCCAAAGAAGCAGGGACCTCTCCTACATTCATTCTCAGAAAGGTGTCAGCAGGGCAGCCAAAGAAGGCCTTGTAGGAGGGATTGGATGCCCAGAGAAGTGAAGGAGTGTACGTCTTCCGAGGGTTGTCCTGAGGTTGCTAGGTACAGCTTGTAGACAGCTTCCAGGCTGTCCTCCACTTGCTGATGTGTTGTATGACCTGAGTAGGGGGGCTCACTTCTCAGCCTCAAGTTTGCCAATGTACAGTGCTAATTTGGACAATGCTGTCTACCCATCCACCCAGGTAGAACAACACCCACTGAGGCTAGGCTCATAGGCTCGTGAGGGGCAGCAGGTTGTCTGGGATGGAGGCAGCAGCAGTCCCCCAGGGGAGGATGGCCAGTTGACTGAATCATTCATAGCAGGCCTAAGGGCCAGGCACCAGGTAAGCCTGGGACTGGAGCAATCAATGTCACTCCCTCCTCCATGCACCAGTACCCACAGCCTGGGTGTGTGTCCCTCCATTCCACCAGAGGCCTGGGTGATTCTCCCAAACCCTCAGCAGAATGAAGTGACCCCTTTCCTTTGGGGGAAGATCGGGCTTGGTGCCTCTCTCCAGATAAGTTCATGTTCTGTTAACATGCTGTCAGACAGACATCCCCAGACAGGTAAGAGCCACAGTAACAAGAGGCTCTTGCTATCCTCAGGTGAGGCTGGACTATGTATGGGTCCACTGTGTATGGCATGCTTGCTTCTGATGCCCTGGGGGCGGGTGTGGAGTGGGGAATTGGCTGGTATTCTGCCCAGTTCAATTGAGGGTTTAATTGACATAGACACCTCTTGGGTGCCCTCACAATCCCACCCCTCACCCCAGAGAAAGGCAGGGGGATCTGCCATCCCTTACGTTAGCATGTGATAGCTCACTAGTCAGTCTCTCTCCCCGCTCTATACACTCTATCCCCACTCTCTCTCCCCCAGGACAATATACACCTGTAGGATGTTGGCAGGTAAGGAAGGATATGTGGGGAGGGAGTGATTATAGGAACAAAGGAATGGCAGAAGAACTAGCCTGGTCCTGTGAGGTACTGGCTGGGCCTGGACCCCCTTCACCCAAAGTTGGAGAAAAGCTCCAAAGGCTTGGGTTCTGAGCAGACACCCTGCAGCTGTGAGCTTCCCTCAAAGATGCTAGGAGGTCCCTGAGAGTGTTTTTTGCTGGGAACCTGGTAGCCTGAGTGAGTCTTTGGACATTCTTTCTCTTTATCTCACAGTAGAAGTGTCCAGCTCATCAGGGTATCACTGAAGGGAAGGGTGGAAGAGTGAGCAAAGGCCCCCATAACATGTCTGCATCCCTCAGGTAAGTAGATCCTAGAAGGGCTTGTATGGGTGGGTCTGCTTGAGTTCTTTGCTGTTGGTAGCTCTTCCATACCTCAACTTGGACAGTTTTTGCCCTCAGCCTTTGCCCACTTCTGACCCCAGCTCAGATATCACCCAAGAGTCTCCTCTGATCCTCCGGCCCAGATTAGCTACTGGGCATCCCAGGACCCCTGTCCTCATCCTGTCTGCATTCCGTCACAGTTATTGCTAAGCACCCCCAGACTTCCTCAGTTTGGATGCCCAATGGTGTGTACAGTGTTCTACTTCTTCCAATTTGGTCTCATCCGTAATCACCTGGAACCCACAAGGCACGTGTGGAGCTGCCGTCCCTGTCTGTGCACTTCTAACCTAGAATGACACAGAGAAGGGCAAGCCTGGCCACAATGGTGAGTGGGTTCCTACTCTTTGCTGTTTTTCCAAGAGGAGCTGTGGGTCCCGAAGAGCAGATGTGAATTGGTGTGCACTTCCCCCCTCAATCATGTGGCTTGGTGACCGTGGTATTGTGCCACCAAGAACAGTTTAAGCATCTTTGAAAAAGACTTTCCTCTAGTGCCTGTGGATTCTTATAGATGGAGCATTGTGTTTTGGGTAGCACATGCTGCAAAGGAGGGGGTCACTTTTTTTGTCCTCTTGATTCTAAAGAAGCCAGCACAAATTGAGAGTAAGCTCCTGCTAACATTCTCTTGTATCTCCCCACACTGTTTCTCCCTCCCTTCCTTCTCCCATTCTCTTCCTCCTCTTCCTCTTCCTCCTCCTCCTCCTTTCCTCCTCTTTAGAGGGTCTCACTATGTAGCCCTGGCTGGCCTGAAACTCCATATGTACACCAGGCAACCAGGCTGGCCTCAAACTCAGAGAGATCCTCCTGTCTCTGCCTTCTGACTACTGGGATTAAAGGAGTGCTGCCACCACACCCAGCACCCGTCTTTTCTTTTTTGTTTATGTTTGTTTTTGAGACAAAGCCTCCCTTTGTATCCTGGGTATATAACCCAGGCTGACTTCAAATCAGGATCCTCTTGCTTAGGCTTCCTGAATGTTGGGTATGTGCCATGACTTCTGGCTAAGAGAGCAGCTTCATAGCAGAGTCTTTCCATGCCGGCCCCCCACAAAATCAGAGAGATGAGTGGGTGTGGGGAGCGATTGTAGTCCATGACTTCTGCTGGTAATGAGTTAACCTGTACCCAGTGACACTCCACAGCATCACCATTGGAAACCTAGACTCATCCTGCTTGTCCTTGACCCTTGCCCAGCTGTTGGTGGGTCACTTACCTGAGTGGGTGTCTAGACAAGTAATGTTTAAGCCAGGTCAGGAGTAGGCTGTGAAAAAGCTAGCGACTGTCCTTCCCTGTAAGAACTCTTGTTTTATATACCCACATGTGTGTATCTATACACATACATACATACATGCAAGAACACACAACACAGGCCCCAAGACATGGATCTATTTATGCTTACAGGCACCTAGAGAAATAGATACAGACTTAATGTGTGCACTCATCCTGTTATATGCACACTTACTCGATGTCTGGGGCTTGCCACTCCTGTTGGAAGGAGTAGTAGACAGGACAGCCAGAGGGGTTGTCACCAGACAGCTGGAAACCACGCTCTTTTCTCCCAGCAATAACTCACCAGACTTAATGTGTCTTTGCTAGGATCTCTGTGGTTTGAAGTTCCTTATGGAAGAAGAATCCATCCTTGGCCCACCCCTGCCTTCCTCCTAACAGGAGGCTGCTAGTTCCCAGATGACAATGGTAAGGCACAGGAAGACCAGGAACCACATCTGCCCAGATGTGTGGGCAGAGTGGGTGAGAATGTAGAGCCTTGGGGAACAAACAGCCATGACAAGAGATAGGACCATTTCCAGGTCAGTCAGAGCCCCAAGACATGACAGAATAGAAGCAATGGCCTGGGAAACCTGTGGGAATCCAATCTGCAAGGCTGCCTGGAAAGAAGGCAAACAAGAGGGGGAGGAGAGAGCCAGGTCACAGGCTAGCCTCCTACCTGTTCCTTCTTGAACATTTTCTGGGCACCTGTGCCAGGAAAGATACAGAGAAATGGAGATTCAGATGGGATTGACCAGCCCCTTCATGGAGTCCCCATGTCCACTCACTTTGAGTGTATGTCTTTCTCAACCACATGCCCCCTCCCCAACATGCAGACATTATTAGTAGCACTTTTTTTTTTTTTTTTTTTTTTTTTTTAAAAAAAAAAAAAAAAAAAAAAAAATCCCCCTCTGTTTGTTTTTTTTTCCTTCACCCCCCCCCCCCCCCCCAACAAACAGGACTTATTTTGTGTAGTTTTTTTTTTTTTTTTTTTTTTGCTGAGCCATACCCTGACCTCAACATCCTTCCAAGCAAGCATGACCAGGCCAGATGATAGACAAAGGTCATAAAACCTATATGTAGCCAGGCCTGGTGATACAAGCCTATAGTCCCAGCTACTCAGGAGGCTGAGGCAGGAAGGATCACGAGTTCAAGGCTTGCCTAGACTATAGAATGAATTTAATGCCAGCTTGGGCAACTTAGTGAGACCGACTCAAAAACTGAAAAGTAGAGGCTAGTGAGATCGTTCACTCTGGGTAAAGGCACTTGCCACTGAGCCAGAAGATCTGAGTTCCATCCCTAGGACCCACGTGATGGAAGGAGAGAACTGATTTCTCTAGGTTGTCTTCTGACCTCCACACTCACACGGTGGCACGTATACACACACATACACACACACACACACACACACACACACACACAAATACAAAGAGCACTGAGGATATAGTTCAGTGGTACAGTGTTTGCCTAGCATGTACAAAAACCCTGGGTTCAGTTTAATCCATAGTACTATAAAAATAAAAACCCTGGTCTCTCTTCCCACCTCATCACTTCATCTCATTCTGACCTTCCTGCTCCTTACGCCAGGTTTTTGACACAGTGCCCCTGCCCCCACTCTGAACTCATCCTATTCCTACTCCAAGTTTTGGGGATTGAATTTAGGGTTTTGTTCACATGCTAGGCAAGTGCTCTACCACTGAGCTGCATCAGTAGAACTTCTTTTTGAGATAGGGTCTCACTTTGTAGCTAAGGTTGACCTTGAACTCTTGAACCTTCTACCTCAATCTCCTTCTGCTGGAATTACATACATGAGTGACAATGCCCATCACATCACTTGTTCCTGATGGGCTTTGGCCTCAGGAAGTCTTTCCTGCCTGACTTCATCAGGGTCTGTTCTAGTTCCAAATCTTCCCTTATGGGGTTCAGCATTTTTCACTCTTACACTTAAAGGCAGTTCAGCGGAGGGGGTCTGGGATCTCACCCTTGGCCCTTTATCTGATCAGGCTTAGAGTCCCATCACCTACAGTGGCCTCCAGCTGATCATTCCAAATTCTCAATATGCCCAAGAGGATGGGACTACTTGGCTGGCTAGCCTAGGCAGGTCTGAGCTGCCCTCTCTATGGCTAGCCACCTCTTACTTTCCCCTCCTCACCCCTGTGTTTGTCCCAGATTCCCCACCAGGGTGAGCAGAGCAGGGCTCTTCTGACCGTTCTACAGATGGGAAAGCTGAGGCCCAGGAAGGGAAGTGTCTTGCCCACAGGGCCGGCACTGGGCCCAGCCACTTACTCATATACCCACAGGACCTGGGGTGAGTCATGGTGGCCCAGGTGATGGGAAGGAAACATATAAACATGGGCAAGTGGGAAGGGCGGTCTAGGGGGAGGGTGGAGGCCTGCCTGGGCTCTCCGTATGAGTTCCCACACATGGATCCCCATGGGCTTACTGGCCAGGTGCACATCTGACCATGTCTAACCATGTTCCCCTCTAGCCTTGCATCTGGACTTTATGTCAGCTCTGGGAGGGCTTCCAACTTCTTTGATGGATGAAGAAACTGAGGCCCACGGTCACAAGACAAGCTGTGGCAGAGGACCGGGTCCTGGACTAAAATCCAGAGGTCCTTTTTCATAGCCAGGTGTCCCCAACTAGTTCCAGGCACCTCTGTTTATTTCCTATCCCCCCTCCAGGGAGGGCACTGGCAGGGTGGGGGACAGACTGGGGGTAGGGATAAGAAGGCAGCTGTTTACTTCCATAGAGGGGCTGTTAACTACCTTTCTACTTTTATAGCAGACATGGGTAATTCACCCAGGACCTGAAAATCTTTGACCTTGGTCATCACTCCACAGACCAGGCTTTCTAACTGCTCCCCTGGGTCCCTCCAGCCTTTTTCAAGGGCTCCTGCCTCCAACTCCACAGCCCTGTCCCCACACAACAGCCTGAGGATGTCTGAGAATGCTTGTGAGCTGGGTCCTTCCCTGCTCCCCAGCCTAAAGCTGCTCCTGGCATAGTCTGGGCTACTGGCTCTGAGTCTCTGTCCTTCCCTGAGTCTCAGCTGCACTCCACTCTCTTTTGCTCTCTGTCTGGGCTCTGACAAAGTCCATGTGGCTTCCTCTGCAGTACCTTTGCCTCAGAGGTTCTTGCTTGGGGAGACGGAGATTGTGGGAGGATAATGGAAGGATGGACATACAACTCATGAGTCCCTTTGCTAGAGCTCATCTCTCCCAGTTCTTTCTTTTGACTGCCTTCTTATCCTTCCCAGATCCACTTGTCCCCCTGTAGGCCAGAGTGTGTTCCTATAAAGTAGCTGGGACAGGATTAGAACTCACCCCAACATACTTTTTTCTAGAAACTTGTCAACCATAAGCATGTGGTCTTATGATTTAAAATGTTTTTGGATCTCCTGTCACATAGCATGATTCCGGAAACCTCTCACTTCCATTCTCCACGTGGCCTTCAGCATGTCCCGTCTGACCTACGTAGAGTTGCTCAGTGGGAGTCCCTGGAATCAGATAGCTCCCTACTATGCCCCTCTCCCCACATGGCAGAGTCTCCTGCCAGGTGCCCTGTACCCTTCCCCCAAAGGCTGAGCCACCACTCTGGACTCTTTGTGGACCAAGTGGTCTCTAGGGTCCCAAGCCTAGGTTCCAGGCCCATATACCAGCACCCCTCAAGCCTGGAGGAGGGGCGAGGAGGGTTTCTGACTCAGCCAGAAGCCCCATCTGCTGACACTGAAGTCATCTCTAGAGAGCCAGAAGCTACTTCACAGCCCGGGGGAACCAGGTAGGCTTCAGAGAATTTTCTTGGGCCTCAGAGGCAGGCAGACCAGAGGGATAAAGGGGCCCTGCCCCAAAGCACCCCTTCTTTAGCACCCTCAGTCCTTCTGTATCTCCCTCTTCTATGATACTTCCTGGATGGGGACCGTACCCCATGAGTCCACCTTGGACCCTGAGGGAAGGAAGCTTGGCTTTGGGTGGGGCAGGGTCCTTAGGTGCTCACAATGTCGTCCTCGGCTTTAGGGGTGCCCTGGTTCTGACTGTGGTTTTTGATCTGGGAAAGTAGGAGTAAAAAGACTCTTCACAATGAAGCCAATCCCACCTTTGAGGCTGGGAGGGTGGAACAGGCCAGGAATTCCCAGAGCACCTGGCCTGGGCTGAAGGATGTGCCAGGGGCCTGGGCTGGGTCTGCCTTGGGTGGGCAGATCTCTCTGTAGCTGCTAGGCCTAATTGCCTCATTAACATCCGCCTGCTGCCTGGGCCTGTCGGCTCCCCTCCCTGCCAGCCTACACAGCCCTGTTTTTCAGGAATCCCTCCTATGAGGCATTGATGGTGACATTGACAGTGACCGTGATGACGCTAGGGAAATGGCCTGGGAGCCAACTGGCCTGGCTCTGACACAGGGGTGCTGACTTGAGGCCTCACAGCCCAGCCCTGTCCCAGGTTTCACACCTAGTACATCCTACACAGGCTGGGCTGTCCAGCTGCTGCCTGCCTGGCACTAGGTTGCCTGTCCCCAGATCAGTGGCACCAGGAAACAGACCTGGGGATGCCCCTCTCTGGCCTGGCCCCACCTAGCCCTACTCCTGCCATACCAGCAAGTGGCCTAAGGAAGACACCAGACACTCGGGTCTCTGGAGTGAGGATGGATGGGTTGGACAAGGGGCCAGCTCTCTCAGAGGCCACTCTGCCTTCTTCTTGGCTCTCTATCACTTGTGAAGTGTCTTGACTTTCATCTCCAGGCAGGATGGCATTCTGCCTGGACCCTAGGCCAGGGTGAGGATCCTAAGGAGGTATTTGGCTTTAGCTGGAGCCCTCAAGCAGAGCCCCTGAAGCAGCAGTCAGCTTGGAACCACTGGCACAGTCCAATGATTCAGGCTGAGAAGTGGTTGGACTCCTTAGGCTACAGACTCTACCCAGACTTGGGACTCCCAGGCAGTTCCCAGGGGCCACACAAAGGCCTGGGGAGCTGAGAAGGCCTAGTTCTGCTGCCTGCTATGGACTTGGAGGCTCCAGCCCCTGGGCCTCCATCTGTCTAGCTAATTCCCTGGTTCTCCGTGTGAGTATTGGGGAAGATCTGCTGTGGCTGAAGCGGCTAGACATAATCATTGCTTTCAAAACTCTCATACCCTGTAGGCAGCAGGAGTAGCCTTAGCCTGGTCCATCATGCCAGACTACTTGCTGTGGCTCTAAGGCAACCAAGATACGAGTGTGCTACTTGTGCAAGGGGGTGATGGGGTAGAATGGAAACTAAGGAACCTAAGACAGCTGGTTCAAACCTTAGATTACCACTACTGCTATCCAACCTGCTTCTCTGTAAAGTGGGTTGTAGTATATAATGCAAATCCTCCGTGAGGAAGGAAAGGCCTGTATGAAAGGCCTAGCCCTGTCCCCTACTCAGCCCTCCTTCCACCCAGACAGGGGCAAGGGCCTAGGCTAGGGGATGACCGCCCCCCCCCCCCCGGGAAGGCCTTCTAGAACAGAGTGCTGGGAGACCCTGGGACAGCTGTGCCAGTGTGTAGGCAGAGTGGGTTCTGGGAAGAGGCTGGCTCCAACTGGGCAGGAAGTAGGGACAAAGGAGTTCTTTAGAACTTTGAGCCGGTGGCTGCCCCATCCCCAGGCTGATGTTGCTATGGGTGGCAGTGCAGACACTCCCAACACCCTGGGCCTGCCTATGCAGGTCCCATTGCATGGGGAAGGCCCTACCTGCTGTCCTGGGTCTCGGTGCCTATATTGTCCCACCCATTTGCCTGCTTTCCCGTGAGGAAGCAACACCAGGTTGGGGAGTCACCAAGGCTCTGGCCTGGCCCAAGCATCCTTTGATTTTGGCCATACCAGCCCCCTGCTGGGCTCCTGCTCCCCTTTCGCAGCTGTCAACCCCCTTGAATTTCCACTTTTCCTCAGAGTCAGCAGATAATCTCTGCTCAGACCCCCAAGGAGCCTTTCCTATTAGGGGGCTCCTTACTGCTCTTTCTATAGTATTTTCCAAAGTGGGTTCCATAGAACTCTAGGCCACCAGGTATTCCTATATACAAAGGGACATCTAGAAAAACAAACAAACAAACAAAAAAAAGGGACATCTGGAAACAGCTTCGCTATGTAGGAACGCATTAAAGGCTCTGTCTGACAAGTCCTTTGGGGAGATTGTTGGCTTTACCTATTCATACTGGCATTTCCCACAGCACCAGATTTTTTGCAAAACCTCCATGTAGTGGGGCTTTTCGGAAGAGGATGTGGCCTTATGTTGCTCAGTGGCTAGTCTACATAACACTTCTCTTCCCTGGACTTTCCATTTTTCAGATAGGAAGCTGAGGATCATCAAGTTAGTGGCTCAGAACCCCCATACCCTTTGCTTGGCCTGCTTCTGGGACCTGGGTTCTGCCTTTGACACAGGTCCAGCAGCCCCAGTGGGATCAGAACTCCCTGGCCTGGTTGCTGGGGAGGCCAGGGAACTTGAAAGGAAGAAATGTGAAGAGCTAGGATGGTCTGGTCAGGCTTCTCCCCATCAACATGGCTGACTGTTGATTGTGGCCAGATCCTTGTGGTCTTGGCTCAGAAATACTCAGGGCCAGATGGGTCTGGGGTGTGTGTTGGGGGTGGGGCACTACAACACGTGGGGAGGCTACAGCATCTCTGTATGAGCTGGGAGGATAGGGCCCCCTCCCTAAGCCTAGGCCAGAGTTAGGTTACAAGCCCTGAGGGTCTTCTAATGAGTTCCACATGGGGTAGATGGTTTAGAGAGGAAATGGGAAGGGGCTGTGGTGGGGGAGAGGGGCCTGGGAAGGGATTGGAAACATGTGGCTATGGAGGAAGAGCCAGAGAGGCGGGAGGCAGCAGGAGGAGGCAGGAGATGGCAGGCTGGGCCCTCAGAAGCTCTACCCAACCCCAGGTTGGCAGACAGGCTCCCAAGGCCCCTGCAAGAGGCCCAGGCCAGTGGACAGCTGGAGGCAGTGCGAGGCCCCTAGGAGGCTGATCTTTTCTTTCAGACAGAAAAACCACAAATCCTGGTTCTGCTTATCCAGGGTCCTGGATCATAGCAGGGTAGGGGGCAGTGGGAGTAGCAGGCTAGAACCAGGTGGGTAGGAGATCCTGGGGACAGAAGTTCTCTCACTTCCAGTGGCCAATGATAGAGCTGTTCTTTCAAGTCCTGCCCTTCCACCAGGCCTGTTGGAGCAAGGCACTGACCACTGCTTTCCTGCCTGACCCCCACCTTGGCCCTCTCAGCTAGTGCACAGACATGGTAGGGAGACCTGACATGTGGGATTAAACATGGACACCTGGCTTGGACTGGTGTTTGGAAGTCCAGTCAGGAAAAGACTATGCAGAGGTCAGGCTGGCGTTTGGGGACAGGGGTTGGGGGTCCAGTAAGTGATTCATGGTAGTTGATCAGTGGAGCATGAGAGTGTCATAAGGTACAATGGATCTCCCTCCCTGGAGCTCTGGCTGAGCCCCAAGTAGCCCAGTCAGCAAAGGCTGAGCTGACTGAGACACCAATGCTACAGGTCCAACACCTGGGTACTTACTCCTATCCATTCTGTCATGGATCACGGCCCACTGGACACAAACCCAGCTCTTGGAACTGCCCGTGAATTGTCTCAGCAAGTCTTCCAGCAGCCCACGAGGCCACTGCTGCTGTTAGCCCATGCTGTCTATGAGCTGAGGTTCAGAGGTGAAGTCCTGCCTTCCTGGCAGCAGGATGGTGGGGGCAAAGGCCCTGGGACTGAACAGTGAAGAAGGAGTGTACTGTGGCTGGACAGAAATGAGGGTAGCAGAGTTGAGGGTGGCAGGTAAGGGCAAACAGGACTGGAACAGTGGCGCTTACTTGGTCTGTCTTTGGAGGAGGCTGGGGACCCATAGGTGTGGCATGCACTATCTTACAAGCCTCTTTTTGATTATTTGCTGTCTTTTAGCCCGTCCCTTTGGCAGTCTGCCTGCTGTGTTGAGAATAGATGGGACAGCAAAAAGCAGGTGTGGAGACTAGGCTGGAAAAGGCACTCCTTGGGCGGGGGGTGCTCCCTGGTTGGCCTGCAAGGTGAGCAGATTCATTCATGCTGCTGGGGAGGTTGGGGGTCCTTACCTGGCCTACCTACCTGAGGCTCCCACTTCCAACTGAGGCTCTTTCAGATCAAAGGCATTGGTTCCCATCAGGATAACAGACACCCCTGAAAGGGCTATGGGCATGTTTGTGGGGCCCCATGAGTGATCTTATTCTGAGGTACATACTAACTACTTGGAAAGTTGGGCTTAATCCACATTCCACAGGCAGCCTCAGGAACAGAGGTCAACCTCCCAGCTCCAGCCAGAGTCCATGGCACCCAGGCTCTGCGACAGAAAGTGCCTTCTGTTTCCAGTCAGCAGGCACAGGGACAGGCTCTGCTGCCCAGAGGGGCAGAGAGTGCTAGTTCCACCACTTTTCAGCTCCAAGTTTCAGAGGCTTCTGAGGGATAAATTCAGAGCAGCTTTATGGGAAGAAGATTCTAGGCCCTGAGCAGGGGTGGAGATGAACACAAACAGGACCCCATCCCGACCTTGAGCACAAGGGTGTGCCTTTGGCTAGGATCAGAATCCAAGGGGCTCAGTGTGGAGGTGGACTGGGTTACTGCAGCAGCTTCTTCAAGAGCTGGATTATTCTAGAAAGACCTGCCAAGTCAGAGTAAGGCCCCAGGCTAACCCCAGCGAAGGGAGGGCAGACAGCTGTGAGAGGCAGAGTATCTGGAGGTACAGGTACCCTCAGTTAGGCTTGAGACCAGGGGAACACAGGCTGGGTAAATGTGAGCCCTGGACCCTAGGGATGCCCACAGCTTGGAAGTCAGTGTTGATTCTAGCACCCAGCTAGGAAGGAATGACGTGGAAAGGAACTGGTGTGAGTGAGTGTGGTTGCAGGACACTGACCTTGCGGGACAGCTTCTGCCTATGGGGGACCTACAGAACACGCTAAAGTCCCCTTTCCAGGAACACATGCTTTTGCCTGAAAGAGAAGTGGAGGCGGAGAATGGGAAGCGGTAGGAAAACATCACTTCCTCTCTTCCTGCCTGCCAGTGTTCCTCCGCCCAGTGAGCAGACTTCTCCTGGGGGCAGGAGTGGGGAGAGGTGGGGGTTCCTCCACAACTGACTCCAGGCTACTGAGTTGGTGGCCTCACCTAAGTGAAAACACTCCTGGCCCTATTCTATAAATAGGTTCTGGGGAGAGTGTTTCCAAACGCAGGAGGGGCTGGCTCCCAGCTTCCTAGTAGCTCTGCAGCAGGCGCTCTGGACTGGCTCAAGGCCCATACTAAGCATAGCTGTGAGCGCACCACATACTGGGCCTTCCTGTGGAGGAAGCTTCTAGAGGGACTCTTCCCTAGTGTGGCTCAGAGTGAGGCCATGGTGCTCCCGGCACCCTGACTAGGGTGGGCTGGAGCCGACTAGGCAAAAGGAATCAGGCCCCATGCCAGGGCAGCAAAGTCTACAGGGAGTGGAATTATGCCTCAGGGTACTGGGACCGCCACCAGCCTGCCACTGCTGTCTTAGCAAACATGGTTCTCTCCTCAGCAGCTCAGGTGGGGTGGGGTAGGTGGAGTGGGGATACTTGGTGAGAAGAGAGCCACTAGGTAGTTTCTGGTCCCCCTTAAATGGTCATACACTAAATCTGGGGCTATCAGGGGCTTATCTTGGGCAAATCATTTAGGAAGATGAGGTTAATGACAGGGAGCTGGGACTGTGAGGCCAGGGTGACTCACCAAGCTCTTTGCTTGCTCAGCGGGCTGGGTTTCCGGGATTCTGGGTAATCATAAACACCCACCCCCAAGCCTGTGCCAGCCCTAGTGGTGGCAGAAGAGGTGGCCTCCGAGTGCTTGCCTTCTCACACTCCCAACTTCCCTCTTGGAGATGCAGGTGGCAGGAGCTACTGGATTAAGCCACCTAGAATTTGAGCCAGAAGGACCCTGGAACCATAAGCCCCATCCCCATTGATATGGAGAGCTAAGTTCCAGGGAAGGAACCACCTGGTTGTGGGGCAAAAGACAGTCATATACTACCCATATTCACTCTGAGTACCCAACGAGAGATAGGTGTTATTTTACAGAGACTTCAAAATGTAAGGGAACTCTCCAAGACCATGGAGCCAAGTCTTAACTTCATTATTCTGCCCCTGCCACAGATACCCTCACCAGGGAGAAATCACGAGCCACAGGACAGAGGGCCCAGGATTGTGTGGGCAGGAGGATGGGAAAGGGCTCCAGGGCCAAGAGCAAGGAAACAGCCTCAGGCCTACGAGGGTCCTTGGACTGAGGGAGTAGTAACTCAAGGATGCGAGCCAGGTAGGCTTACCACTGGTTGCGTGGTAAGCTTAGTGGCTTCTTCCCGGGATCTGCCCAGCCTGGTGGTCCAAGCCTGTTTGGCCTGCCTCTGTTGCTTCTTTGACAGGAAGTGGAGGTTCAAGTTCTGGAACTTCCAAGAAGCTGGCTATGGCAATTTAAAGCAGACAGAGGAAGGGAAAGAGGAATAAAGAGAAAAAGGAGGGGGAAAAAGCTGCAATTTGGCTTTTGGGAGGCTGTTACCCCCAATCCAAAATTATGGAGAGGCTGGCTGAGCTGAGGTATTCACATTTCCAGAAGGGCTGTTGTTGGCTTGGCGGCAGTAGGGAGGGGTAGGGACAGAGAAGCCATTGGGTAGGATTGACAGGGAATGGAAAGGACCAGTTAAATGGCCCCCCAACTTTGTCCAGCCACCCCAAGCCCACCCTGGCCCTGTGTCCTGCCTCCCACCGCCCCAGATAGTTGTCCAGCTCAGGGGGACTATGTCTTTACAAGGGTAGGAGATAAAAGTATAGTTAGGCAGGAAAGGCCCAGAGTGGCCAGAGCACCTTAGACCCTCTCCTCCCAACCAGGTGCAATATGGCCCCCCAGGTTCTCACTTGGAGCAGTGAAGCTTCAGTTGGGCCTCATGGGGGCAAAACTAAATGAGCTTTAGATAGCCCTTCACAGGTCTGCCCTGGGCATAGAGGAGGGAGGTCTCTGTTGGTAAAGACCAGCACATGGGGCTGGAGAGATAGCTAAACACTTAAAAGCACTAGTTGCTCTTGCAGAGGACCCTGGTTCAGTTCACAGCACCTACATGGTGGCTAACAACCATCCGTTAACTTCCATACAGATTCCAGGGGATCTGATGCCCTCTTCTGGCCTCCATGGGCATTGAATAACACAGGCACACTTACATGCAGGGAAAGCATTCACACACACACACACACACACACACACACACACACACACACACACACACAAAGACCAGCACTCATTCCAGGAGTCATGTAGAATCTGTGCCTACTGAGAATAGCACTTGCCCCAATTCCAGGGTTAGGCCAGTGGCTCTACCAAGGGAGGTGGAGGAGCATGAGCTAGAGATGCGAAGGAGGGCCACTGTACTTGTTACTCTTCCCCTCTGCTGTGACAAAATACTTCACAAAAGCAACTCAAGGGAGGAAAGTTACAGGGTACGGTCCATCATGGTGGGGAAGTCACAGCAGTAGGAGCGTTATACAGCTGGTTACCTTATGCCCACAGCTAGGAAGCAGAGTGATGAAGGCTGATGCTTGGCTGCCTTTCTCCTTTTTATTCAGTCTGGGACCCCAGCCCATGGAATAGTGCCATTCACATTTGGCGTGCACGTGCAGGGTGTGTGTGTGTGGGGGGGTGTCCCTTCTTGCCTCAATGAACTCAGTCTAGAAATCCTCTCACAGACATGCCCGGAGATATGTTTCCTAGGTGATTGATTCTAGATCCTGTCAAGTTGACAATATTAACCATCCCAGCCACCTAGATCATTCTAGCAGAGCCATCCTGGATGGCCTGCCTGTGGGCTGGGGGTGGGGGGAGGCTATCCAAGTTTGGCCACACTCAGCCTGCTTCTGTAAGCAGAGCCCATGCTGTGCTAGTCCTAGCATTAATGTCCCAGGTGGTTCTAAGACCCACCAATATCACACTGCAGGAATAAGATTGTGTGAAGGGGTGCATCCCCTCCAGTTACGCCTGATAGTGGAACCTCTACCAGCAGCTTACGGCACAAAACATATCACTACCCCTAGATCATCTCCCTAAAATATACACTTTCTTTTGTAAAGAAAGGTAGATTTCAGATTCCAATGACTGCCCTTGAATTCTAGGCCAGTCTGGGCCATGTACTGAGGTCCCTGTCTCAACACAAAACCAAACCACAACCAGATCCAGACTTGATCCTGGAGGAAACTAAAAAGGTGTTAGCAATGCTAGTTTGACAACTGCAATATGCCTTGGAGACCATACTTGGGCCCTGCTGTCCCTAGCAAGGATCACCAACTATGTTTGGATATGATCTTGCCCTAGGCTGGCTGCTCAAATCACTATAGTCCTACTAACCTGGTACTTCCATATCTAGGTCTGAAAGCCATAGCAGGCAGCCCAGGGTGGGTTGGTAGCAGAACCAGCAGGAGAGGGGATGAGAAGGCTGGTCCTGTAAGCTGTATCCCTCTGAGAAGGCTTCTCCAGGCTAAAGTTCATGGGGTGGGGGCTCACTACTTCTATTCCCCTGGCAGTTGACAGCCTGTTTTGTTAGTGCAGGCCGGCAGGCCCCTCCTCATACTGAAGGTCCCCAGGATATCCTGAGCTCAAGCCTCTTTACTATCTGATGTCCTTGACAACAGATGCTATTGTCTCTCCATCCAGTAGACGGGTTGGTTCCCTACTCTGCACTAGGCAGGGTTCAGCAGCTGAAAGAATGGGGGTTTGGGTCACCACTTCATGCAACAAGAACAGGTCTCAGGTCAGACCACAGTGTTGAGAGATATAGCTAGGGACAGGCAGAGAGCTCAAGGCCTCCTGGAATTCAGCTCATCTCATCTAGAGGAGGCAGCCTCCCTGGCCTGTGATTTATCAGAATTCAACACAGGTTGGCCCCCTTGCCAGCCTGAGCTTTTAGACATTCAGACTCTGCTTCCCCTGGAAGCTGCAAAGGCTGGGACCCAATTAACCATGCAGTACTGACAGCTCCTGGGAAGATCTAACACTGCCCCCCCCCGACCTCCCACCCCCATGGCAAGGCAGGTGTGTTAAAGGATAAAGATCTTCCTTGCTGGCTAAGCCCAAGCAGCTGAAGGCTGAAGGCATGAACAACACGCAGACATATGGAAAACACTCACTCTGATTTTCCTGGACCAGATGTGGAAGAAGGGGGCCCTTGAAAACCCTCACGAAGGAATGGAAATTCAGGTGCCTGGGGCCTCTGGATCCCCACAGAAGCCAGCAGGGGCCTGTCAGAGGGAGGTGGGTGGTACACCGGGGATGTGGCTGCCCTTACTCCCCAGAACCCCTGAACAGCTGCAAACAAGGGTGTAGTGGATTGTCAGAGACAATCTTCTAAGGAAAGGGTTCCCCCCAACCCCAGCTTGCCACTGTCATTCTCCCTTTATTGGGCTCTAAGATGGTAAGACTGATTAGGTATCACCCAGAACAAGTCATTCCTATAACAGGATCAATCAAATTAGGGGTTAGAGAGATGGTTTAGCAGTTAAAAGCACATACTTCTCTTGCAGAGGACCTGATTCAGTTCTTAGCAGCCATATCAGGGAAGCCAGTGCCCTCTTCTGGGTTCCACAGGCACCTAAACTCACATGCAGATAATCACTCACACACACACACACACACACACACACACACACACGCACGCACAATTAAAAATAAATCTTAAAAAAGATCAATCAAATCAGTTTTAATTTTCAGATTCCTTCACTCATGCATGCAGAGAGGAAGAAGGCACCAGGCCCTGGTGAATATATGTTGTCACAGAAATTAAAGCCATTGCAAAACTACCATCCATTCACAAAGCTTGTTTCTGGACAAACCTGATTCCAATGGGCCCACTGGGGGCATTTGTCAGATGAAGAGAAAACTCTTGGCTCATCCAAGCCAAGAGCAGCCAATTCTGAAGCCAGTCATGGGGTGAGAGGTTAGGTGAGTGAAGACCTGACAAGGCTCTCTTGAAGGACAGCCGCCATCTTAGGACTCTAAGGCAGCACATGTTTCAAGTGGCTCCTTTTTGTTAAATGAAGTGTGGTCCTACTAGCTGGGTCTCAGGCATCCTTTGTACAGCTCTGCCCACGGGGGGCCTCCTACTGTCAGGCAGAGAGGCTCCAGGTACAAAAGCAGGTATGTTGGAAGAGGGCAGGGGCACCCAATCCTGGGCTGGGTACAGATGTTCCCAAGGGCTGAATCCCTTTATTGATTTACTCAAGTCCCCAGTACAAATCCCTGGCCTGCTGCCCCCCTAATCAACTGAGCTCCTGAGTCTTGCTCTCCTGATCATGGTGTCGTCCTCTGCATGATTAGCTGTTGGTTATCCAGGCACTTCTTCAGCTTGTCTTCTGTCAGTGTCAACCGCTGTTCCAGGATGGACACTGTCTGTAAAACAAAGGGTGGCTAGGCTCAGAATCAGGGACACCTGGCTACCCTAGGGACTACCATCGTTCAGTCCCCACTCAGCCACTTCAGGCTACTGCCCAAATGCCAGGCACCAAAATTTCCACTGAGGGGCTCTGTCTGGCTTTTGTTCCCTCTGCTTGTGTCTTTGGAGTTTGTGGGCAGGAGGAGATGCCACAAGGGAGGACAGCTAGCAGATCTCATAGCCCTCAATCATTCTCCAACCATGGCAGCAGGAATCTCTAGCCCTGGTCTGGGCCAGGCTCTGTCTGAAACCACTGGAGACCGTCAACCATCTCTATCCAGAGGAGAGGAAGTTGCCACATAAATCACAATAATCTACCTGGATCCTGCCCAGGATGGATGCAGCCTTCTTACATCTGAGAATGCACTGTCACAGGCTGCCAGGGGACAAAGGCTGAGAAGTAAGTCCCCCAAGTCAGGAAGGTAGGGGGCTCTGCTTGTGCAAGTCCAATGAGGACCACAGAAAGAATGTGCCACCTGGGGGTGAGGATGAGGGCGATCACAATCAAGTGACAACCGCACATCAGAGCCACTTACTTTGTGTCCGCAGCACAATGACTGCCTGTGGACCTAGTCACCTGAGACTACATGCGCTTCATGGACCAGGACCAGTCTTGTAGACAGGGCTCCCCATCAGGCCGCAAAAACCTGTCCACTTCCTCTGGCTTTGGGCAGTGCCAGTAGAGGGACAGCTGCATACTTCTCACGGAAGGGCTGTCCATCCCAGTCTGCCCCACCAAACATATACCTACCTTAATTACGTACCCAGTTGACCCAAAGTCTGCTTCTGCTGGTTGTTTCACTTCCACCATTGAGGGCTGCTGAGTGCCTACTGTTACACATGGGCCACACCAGCCACTAGATTAGTCTACTGAGGATAAGGTCACCGTGGACAAGGCTGCTGTGTATACAGTAGGCTTTGTTCCTGTACCATGGAGCCTACAGGCACCAGTAGGGGCAGGTAATTTTACTGGAAGATTCTTTCAAGAGATACTGTCCCTTTCCCTGGGGTTCCAAGAAGGTTGGTTCAGCGGAAAGGAAACCCTCATACACTCATAATAAACCTGATAACATTTTGGGAGGGAGTTTCCCCTCTAAGGTGATTATCAATTCTTTGGGCATCCTGCACGGATGTTAGCTGCCATGGAGGGTATTCTGACAACTGGCCCCTTCTGAATGAGCTGGCCAGGGATGGAGGGGCTCTGCACCCCAGGTCACAAGATAGAGCCTGGAAAAGTCACTGCCCGAGGAACATGAACTGGACCCTGAGAGGCAGAGCTGAGCTGAAAGAAATAATCACATCCTCCAAGCTGGCCAGCCAGCCTGGAACAGGTCTGCATCTTGTAAAAGTGGTGGTGGAAACAGCCCCCGGCTGGCCCAAGCAGCATTCCTGGAAGTTTCCACTGGCTGCTGCGAAGCTCACACAGCAGTCATTCTTCATTCAGCCCCTTTCCGGCAGGTAGTGGGGACTCAAGGCCGCAGTGGGGGAGCCCTGGCCATGGCATTTCCTTTACTGCCTTTCTTTCTTTCTTTCTTTCTTTCTTTCTTTCTTTCTTTCTTTCTTTCTTTCTTTCTTTCTTTCTTTCTTTCTTCTTTCTTTCTCTTTCCTCTTTCTTTTCTTTTTTTCTTTCTTTCTTTTCTTCTTCTAAACTTTTCACAGGAACCCACTTTCCAAATGCAGAGACCATGGACCCAGAAAACATGAGGTGCTGGACCAATGGCAACACTGGGGGCCTCTACTTAGTTCCATGGGAAGCCCATACTTTTCAGCTCAGCAGGAATGTGGTCATTACGTACCCAGTTGACCCAAAGTCTGCTTCTGCTGGTTGTTTCACTTCCACCATTGAGGGCTGCTGAGTGCCTACTGTTACACATGGGCCACACCAGCCACTAGATTAGTCTACTGAGGATAAGGTCACCGTGGACAAGGCTGCTGTGTATACAGTAGGCTTTGTTCCTGTACCATGGAGCCTACAGGCACCAGTAGGGGCAGGTAATTTTACTGGAAGATTCTTTCAAGAAGAATAGAAATGCATCCTCTATTTCACAACCAGTCAGGAATGGAGGTACTGGTCCAGCTGGGAGCACTCCCTTTCCAGTTCTGAGGGGGCATGCCTTGTGTAGCCCTGATACACGTAGTCCAAGCTACCCTCAAATTCATGACAATCCTCCTGCCTCAGCGTTCCCAGTGCTGGGATGAAGACACGCACCACCATGCCCAGCAAGGGACACCTCACACTGTACTCTTCAGATCTGTATCTTCCCTGACTGCTACAGTCTAGCCTCGCCCCCTGCCAGCTGACCTTGAAGAAGCCTGCCATCTTTTTGTTTCCCCTATCCCTTGTCCCCAAGTCTATTCTGCCAAGGGGCCAGGTGGCAGTCACCACCAGGGGATGACTACGGGGCAGTTCCAAGATAGGTTTGCTCTTACTCAGCCTGCTTTGGGCACAAAGGATGGGCCCAGGCAGGAGGGGGCTTTCTGGTTTTCTGAATATTAGAAAGCTGCCTGGCACCCTCTTGCTTCACATATTTTTCTCAATGATCCTTTTCCAATAAAACACAAAACTTCGTCCACAGAAAATAATCATTCCCCTATGATAAATTGGGCCCTGGAAGTCTAGTTCTTGAATTCTGTTAATTTGTCTTTTTAGTATGGGATTGGAATTCCCTACATTAATGCAAATTGTACACCTTCTTCCTAGCAAGATTTTTTTTTTCTTTCTTTGGGGAAGGGTCTCCTGTAGCCCAGGCTGGCCTTGAATTCACTATGTAGGATGACCTTGAACTTCTGATTCTCCTGCCTCCACCTCCTAAGTGCTCAGATCACAGGAATGCATGTGCCACCATCCCCAGTTCACAGGGTGCTGGGTATTAAAGCCAGGGCTTTGTGCATGCTAGACATGTACTCTACTAACTGAGCTATATCCCCAGCCCTGATGTGCTTTTTTCCTCAAGGGAGAGGGATTTCCCAGCAATGGAAAGACCCCATTGGGGCATCTGAGTAGGAGTGATTATACACTTTCAGTTCAGGGCTGGGGATGCAGGTAAGTGCATGGAGGAGCAAGCACTGGCAGGCCAGGGGCAGGGATCTGCCCAGGTTACAGGACTGGAATGGCCAGAACAGACTACCACTGTGCCAGGACCTGAAGAAGGAGGGGAAGAAAACATCTGAGGTGGCACGTAGGCCATCTGGAGCATTCCTGGCAAGGACTAACCTTAGGTCACTTCAAGTGGCCTTTTCATGTGATTCTGGCCCGTTGGTTGAGTGCAGTGAAGGGTAAGCATACACTAGTGATGGACCTCAGAGGGCTCAGTAAACAGGTGCTGCCTCAGTGTCCAGAAGACACAGGCAGTTACTGTTCCCTCTCGAGGCCCAGTGCCTGTAAGGATGCCCAGGTCATACCTGTGAGACAGCCTGAGCCTAGGCCCAGTTATCGGGTAGCTAGCTGCTCACCCCACCTCATTTTTGGGTCCTGGCTTGGGAATTCTGTCACAGAAGGTCTGTTTTGGTGGGCCTGGGAAACAGGGCCACACCTTCCCCTCAGAGGGTGAGGAGGACTTTAAAGTCACACCTGCAGTTTTGAGAGGCCATACCCCACAGCCCACCAGCCTTGACTTTCTTTTATTCAAGAACTGGCCTTCCAAGCCTCCCTATGACCCACACTGCCTCTCACTTTGCTCTGGCCAGAGGAGCAGAGCCCTGGTCTAGTCCCTCAGAGGTGTACATGCCAGATCACGTCGCAGGTGTCCACTGGGGAGAGCACCTGCCATAACATCTTCTAGCCCCAGTGCCTAAACACAAGTAGCCTAAGGAGAAGGCTGTGCCTGGGCTACCTTCTGTCCTGGCTGAGGCCTCCTGAGCCTAACTCCAGTTCCCCTCAAGGCTACCCAGCAGTCCTATCACACCACCTAGTAACACTCAGGTACACGTTCCAGGCCTCAGGCACCCTGCACTCCAACCCCCAGAAGCAGACTCTTACTTGCCTAAGCTCTTTGGAATTATCATAAAAGTTATGAGGGCTACAGAGATGGCAATTAGGTTAAGAATACCTACTTTAAGGCGTGGTGGTGCACGCCTTAAATCCCAGCACTCAGGAGGCAGAGGCAGGCGGATCTTTGTGAGTTCAAGGCCAGCCTGGTCTACGTATGAGTTCCAGGCCAGCTGGGGCTACAGGGAGACCCTGTCTCAAAAAAACCTACTTGAAAACTGACTCCTGCCAGGCGTGTGGCACACTCCTTTAACCCCAGCACTCAGGAGGCAGAGGCAGGCAGATCTCTGTGAGTTCAAGGCCAAGGCCAGCTTGGGTTACAGGGAGACCCTGTCTCAAAAAGACAAAAAAAAAAAAATGAAGAAAAAGAAACTGATTCCCTAGAGTTGTCCTCTGATCTCCACATGTATGCCATACTCTCACACATATACCATACACACACAATTTTTTTTAAAAAGGTAACATTATGAGGAAAACTAATGTACCAACATGAACCTCTTAATAAATATGCAATAACTAGCCATACCTTCATTTTGATGCTTTTTCTTTTTTAATTTTCTTTACTATTTTTATGTGTATGCATGTATTGTCTGCATGTAGGTAAGTGCACCCGTGTCATACAATGCCTGAGGAGGTCAGAAGAAGCTGTTGGATCCCCTAGGACTAGAGTTACAGACAGTTGTTAGCTGCCATGTGGGTGCTGGGATCTGAACCCAGGTCTTCTGCAAGAACAACTGGTGTTCTTAACCGCTGAGCCATCTCTCCAGCCCCCTGATGCTTTCTTTAAGCAAGACACATGTGTCTCTGCAGCTTAAGTGATCAGCCCCAAAACACACTTGGGTCACAGGTGATATGTTACTTTCTCAAAGACTAGGCTTGAGTTTAAACAAGGTACCTCTCTTCCTATACCAGAGCAACAAGAAACCAGAATGAGGACCCTATGCCTGAGCACTGTCTGCTTCACAGGGT